CTCAGGAGGCTAGGTCCTATTTTATCATTCCATGTGTAGTTTGGACCCTTCCTCCACCTCCATGCATTCATTACTACATTGTGATTCTTTCAGATGATGATACAATTCTAATCTCATACCAAACTGGAAAGGGCCCCAAAGAGTTTCTTTCCAGTGTACACTTCTACTGAATTATAACTGCTATGAGGCAAACCACACCAGCATGCAGAATGACTCCTAAAACTGATGCTCAGAGGTATAAGTCTAAATGGATTAGAGAAGAATCATCCAAGAGCTTGTTAGTAGGCAGTATCTTCAGAGATTCTGATGGAGCACAAGGTGAGGTAGCCACTATAAGATAGATGCTGGCAGATCCTGTATTTGACTCGTTATTTATTTAATTATTGATTTTATTGAGCTATATATTTTTCTCTGCTCCCCTCCCTTTCTCTTCTATCCTCTTCAACCTTCTCCCATGGTCCCCATGCTCTCAATTTACTCAGGAGATCTTGTGTTTTTCTACTTCCCATGTAGATTAGATCTGTGTATGTCTCTCTTAAGGGTCCTCATTGTTTTCTGGGTTCTCTGGGATTGTGAATTTTAGGCTTGTTTTCTTTGCTTTATGTCTAAAATCCATTTATGAGTGAGTACATATGATATTTGTCTTTCTGGGTCTGGGTTACCTCACTCAATATGATGTTTTCTAGATCCATCCATTTGCCCGCAAATTTCAAGATGTCATTGGTTTTTTTCTGCTGTGTAGTACTCCATTGTGTAAATATACATTTTCCTTATCCATTCTTTAGTTGAGGGGCATTTAGGTTGTTTCCAGGTTCTGGCTATGACAAACAATATTGCTTAGTTGAGCACATTTGGTTTTGTGGTACAAATGAGCATCCTTCGAATATACTCAAAGACCCCAGTCTTGATAGAGTCTGTTTAGAATTCTGTGATTTAAAGGCTTCAAACAATAAGTGTCTCAGGTAGTTGAAGGATTCATCTTCCACCAGGACAAACGTCACAAAACTCACATTGGGTCTGTCAATCCCAAGGGCACCTCAGAGAATTCTCCGATTCCTGAATGGATTTCCAAAGGAAGCTTGGCCCAGGTTCAATGACAGAATCCCATGGCAGGGAGTGTATGAGTGCCTTCCAGATAGAGACACTACTGTAGGCCTCGGTCATACGGTGAGCAGGGCTTCCTGCTCCTCATCATGGCAGAGGTTCTAGGGAACCTGTAGTCACTAGGGAGACTCTGGGAAGAGACTTGAAACAAATAAGTCAGGTAGGTGATTACTGTAAATGATAAGTACTGTGAAAAATAAATCATAGCACAAGGTTGAAGAATGGGGGGAGAGAGAAGCTCTTTATGTAAGAAAGTCTGGAAAGACTAAGCTGAGGATGTGCAAAGTAGGCAGTCTGTGAAGTCTGAGGAAGTAAAAACATTGGCTTAAAAATGTATCCTTATAAAAGATTTTTCTTTCTCAGGCATGCTTTCTTTAAGTTTCTGTTTGCTTTGGTTGGGCTTCAATGTTTTAGATATGATTATGTGTGTATGTTGTTTTCATTTGCTGACCGTCGTAAGCAGTTGTGTCTGTAACAGCGTGGTGCAGTGTTGAGACGTAAAATCCCAGGAGTGAATGTATGTCTGTGTGCTAGGTTTGAAACACTTGATTTTAATAATTGCTTTCTTCTTTATTATGTCATCAAACTATGATCCAGTACTTTCCATGGTCAAGATTGTAGAACAGAATAAAAGATTAATTTCTATGATATGAATATACCTTCATGATAATAATGTTTCTAGATTCCAACTAAAGTAGTCTCTATAATTTTTTAATTGTCTAGAGTTTTTCATCACCTCTTATAATTTCTGTTTTAATCATGTGCTTTTGTGTATGTGTGTTTGATATGTGTGTCATGTGTGTTACTGTAAGCATGCACAAAGCCTCAGCAGGCATGTGCAGGTCAAATGGCAACCTCGGTTGTCTGTCCTCACTGTGCACCTTGAGATATGATGTCTTGTTTTGCCATTGTATCTTTGCCATTGCCTTCTATCTCAACCTCCAATCTCAAGAAGTACTGGGATCAGAGATGCTTGCTACCACAATGGGCTTCTTTGACGTGGTGTCTGGGGATGCAAACTCCGGACCTCATGCTTATTCAGCAAGCCCTTTGCTCACTCAGCCATTTCCTAAACCTGTTTGTTCATCATGGGTTTTCCTCCTTTTCCCCAACTCTCCTACAGTGTGTCAGTTGCCTCATTTTTAACCTGCGGTCTACAGGCTCTGTGAATATTCTGGTATTTCTGTCTCTGACATGGCAAAGTAAAACCCATTACTCTGGAATTTTCAGGCACGGTCAGGAATTGAAATGGGAAGGGAAAATGCAAAGAGAGGATAGGAAGGGTGAGGAGAGAAGGCATTTTCTTTGTAATGTGTCCAGAAGACCTGCCTTCCAGCCCCAACCAGGAGAATCCCTTCAGCCTGGTACCTTGACAGTTCCGGATGCAGCCATTTGGACATGATATGTGGTGTAACATTTCTCAAGTTCTTACCAAAATCCAGGAACTCCTAAGCCTGTTACAATAGTAACATGGTTAATTTCACAGATAATCTTCTGTAAGGAATAAGGCCCATGTCACTAAAGTTTGTATATAAGTATGTCGTGACTCACAAAACTTGAGGAACCTGCCAAAGGTCATTCAGATAGTGAAGAACACAGCAGGGGGTTGGCACTGGCTGGTCAGGGGTCCGTGCCAGCTAGTGTGGTTCCACATTTCCTTTTGTGGTTCTCATGGGACTGTTTTGACTTGGAGATAGTTTAATAACAGCCTATAACGTGATGATTAAATTTGCCACTACCATAAAATAATATTTGGAGCCTGTCTCACTCGGTCACGTAGCTTCGTGTTTTCTCTGAACCTTTTCCAGTAACCAATCCTCATGCCCTAATAGGGAGACACCATACAAAGAGAAGCAGTAGCTGGGCAGCGCAGAACTGTTGGGATCATAAGCATTAGCATTCAGTAGAGCCCCTTCCTTTGCTTTGCAGGTGGAGTGAAGGACACGTGAACACATGTATGTGAACACACATTTTCTAGACAAACCCTTTTTTCCTTTACTAACGTTTGGTTGAAACATGCATAACAGGTAGAAAAATCGCTTCTACATAAGAGAAGTTGGTGTTATTGTAAGTAACCGTACCAGCTACACTATAATGTAAATCAGTGGAATTCTTACTCCTTGTTAGTTAATAAGCCTTAGCTTTGCCTTTTAAAAATTATAATAGAAGATAAGTTTTAGTTGAGTTTATAAGACAGATGCCTTATTTTAATTTGCTAAGCAATAGTCCCTGCTTCCCTTTTCCTGTTCGGTTTTGTTGTTTTCAGGCAGGATGTCACTAAGTTGCCCAGGCAGGCTTTGGGCTAAGATCTAGCTGCAGCCGGAAGAGTTTGCCAACCTTCGGGTTTCCAGAGCTGTCTAAGTAGCTTCCCGTGGATACGAGGTCGTCTGTCTCCCCCAGAGCCAGCTTTCTTCGCCTGGCAGCATAGGAGCCCAAACACTCACTGCTCTTTCTTTCTTTGCTCTTGGTTGAGACCTTCATGGTATCTCAAGAAGAGCATGCTGTGCTCAGTCTCAGCCCCAATTCCTCAGTCCTTCAGAAGAAAGACCCAGTTGTGAAATATTCAACCATAAGAACAAAACTATCCTTATGGATAAATAATCTAAGACGAATTCTTACTTCAAAGAAGTGAAGAGTGTGCTTCTGATCACTTTACAGTGACTCTCTTGCTGACGGGAGGGAAGAGGCTCTGGCTGGAACCGGAAAAGGTGTGCCCAAGCACTCTTGGTTCCCGATCGCTTACACCATTTTAATAGACCAAGATTCTTAAGCACAGATGTCCTAAAACCTCGCCTAACTATACCTGCTTCATAGTCTTTATTCCACGGTGGAAAGTAGGATTTTACGAGTCATCTAAACTTCGTTCATTGGGGTGCAGGTGTTTCATCAATGGATTCTGTAGGAAGGCTCTGCCTGCTGAATAATGACCTTCTTCCTGACTCAGTAACTAACCTGTGGTCACTGTATCCAGTGTGTTAAGATATTGTCGTCCTATGAAGAAATATCCATGTGATGTCCATTATTTAAGCATAGTTCATTTCAAAATAATTAATAATTTATGTGTGTACATAAAAACCTATGATGATTAAAAAAACCTTTTTAATCAAATGAATCTGACTTGAAGCTCTGATTGTTCATTTTTAGCTGTGACCTTGCCAAACTACCTAACATATGTTAATGTCTCCTCCATATAGCAGACATTATACTGTTAATTTTGAGGGTCTCAGCATTTATAGAGGCAGTAAGTGCCAAACAAAAAGAAAGCCAAATTCTTTCTAAACTTCTAGCTTACAAAACTGAAAATTTAAGAAATATCAGTTCCTAGTGATGTTATTCAGTTACAGTTCCTCAGATATACTTTACAAAAATGTTTTGACAATTAATAATATATCTTAGAAAAACATTCTTTTAGTATATAAATTTGTCAGTTGCATATTAGACCTAGCAAAACATAGTATTTCTTATGCACATCACCATTTTTTTCTTTCCAAAACAATAATTCATTGTGGGTAGAATTCCCACCTCCATTGGACATAGATTGTGCCAGATCCTTGACCTGTCATTTTCTCCTTTCTTTTGTGTATAATTAATTCTTATCCCATGACAATGTTAGAAGGAACTTGGGAAAAATCAAATTTCTTAACAGGATTTCTTGCAAAATTGCTTTATGTATTACAACAACATCCATTGCTGTTGCTGTTCTTAGCAGCACCGTTTTCCCAGTGAAGTTGTGAGTTAGGAAACCTGAACAACAGAGCAAGATGTGCCAGTCAGGAACTCTGGCATCTTCAGCAAAGGGCTTGGCTTTTCTGTCTCATTTCTCCTGCTCTGCAAATTTGATTATATGATTCAGTCACATAAGCTAATATTGCCATAAACTCTGTTTTATCTTTCAGTTTGTGGGGACATCCATGGACAGTTCTTTGACTTGATGAAGCTCTTTGAAGTGGGAGGATCCCCTGCCAACACTCGCTACCTCTTCTTAGGGGACTATGTTGACAGAGGGTACTTCAGTATTGAAGTAAGTACACATGGGTTCCTCTTAGCTCGTTATGGATCGCTGATACTGTAATAAGATAGGGAAATAAACATCTAGAATGTAGCAATCAATTTCAGTACACTTAAGGAGATAAATAATCCTGTATTTTTTTATGCAGAGGGATGACAAAATGGTAAAATGTTGTCTTTTGCTGTTCTTGAAAATTGATTGAAAGAACTAATTAGAGTTGATAGCATAACGGACTTGAGTTGCCATATCTATGACTTATGGTTTTGAGAGTAAGTCACTTTCATGAATGGAAACAGAATGATGGCGTTCCAGTGTGAGGACACTGGCAGCTGCTAGATCATGGCACCTATCATCAAACTAGGAAATGTGTCAAAGTCATTAATTAGTCAAAGTAGAAGAGATATTCATTGAGTAGAGGTTCTTCCTCAGTTTTTCCATCATCATCTACTTTAAGGGAATTGAAATTATATTAAAAATAAAAGCAAGACCTTGTACTCAAGTCTCATGATGTCTCAGGGAGGGCCCAACAGTTATACTGGGAGAACACGGTTTCTGTAAGAGGAAATTTTGAAGCTCATAGACACTAGTCAATATGTGCTCCTAAGAGAACAGTGGATAGGAAGGAGCACGATTTTCATGTATTAAGGCAGCATGGCTGATGCCTCGCACCATTGACTCACAACCATCATACAGAAAAGGGTTTTAAAATATTTTCATATTAGATTTACAAGCCAGGCAGTGGTGGTGCACACGTTAATCCCAGCACTTGGGAGGTAGAAGCAGGTGGATCTTGAGGCCAGCCTTGTCTACAAGGGTGAGTTCCAGGACAGGCTCCAAAGCTACAGTGAAACCCTGTCTTGAAAAACCAAAAAAGCAAAACAAACAAAAAAAGGATTTACTTAAGGGACATTTAATGTTAATACAGTGTGTCAACCTCAAATATATCAACTGGATATTTGGGGTATTTAGTTACCTGCAATTAAAAATTGAAACTCTTTCTCTCTTTATATGTGTGTGTGTGAATGTATGTACATATGTTTATATGTATATATAAACCATTATAAATGGGCATAAACATGTCTGAGTATTTTGTCACCGATACATGTGTACACATACACTATGATTCCGACTACGGAGAAAGGTAAAGTATCTCCTTGCTCTCTAGAAATGTAAGTCTAGACAAGGAACTAGGATTATACACACTCTAAAGAGAACCAAACCCTGGCATGGAAGCTGTTCTAGGTTCAGAGTGCTAGGGATTGAAGCAGGCTCTCATGTACACTAGGGAAGTATCATCATAACACCGAGATCCATTCTAGTTCTGTTTGCTTTTCCTACAAAAACTACAACTCTGTATCTGCGGCCATTTAAAATATTCTAAATATCTCCTAGTCAGAGTTTTTTAGAGCTCCATTAAAAAAAATGTTTGGAATGTAGAAATCCCTGATTTGGTCTTTGGGATATGTTTTTCTTTGAAAGAATCTATAGTAGCTCTTGATAGTAGAAATAGGAGGGGGCAATATTTTGTCTATTGTGTTCATTTTGAAATTTAACATTCATACAAAGATCAAAGTATCCAGCTAAATGATGTGCCATGTAGGTCTCATAGTACATTAAAACGTGCTGAGATGCATTTGTCAAAAATGCCATCTTCATAACTGGCTCTCAGTTAAAATGAGTACAGACCCATGAACTTTCTGCATACACACAAAAATGACAAAATGTTTCAGCGGTAGTATGGTCACAATTTTGATCTATTTGTGACCTGTGAGTAGCTTTTCTGTGGCTATGATACGATCAGCATATTAAAACTGATATGATCAGAATATTGAAACAGATCAAGCATGTATATCAGTGGTTCTCAACCTATGGGTCACAACCCCTTTGGGGGAGGTCAAATGACCCTTTCACAAGGGTTATATAAGACCATTTGCATATCAGATATTTATATTATGATTCATAACAATAGCAGAATTGCAGTCATGATGTAACAATGAAAATAATTTTATGGTCAGAGGTCACCAGACTATGAGGAACCACTGATGTGTATGAAATACTCTAAGAATATTTCCAGATGTCTGCTGTGGTTGGCCTGCTGAAGCTATATTCCCCACAAAATGAACCCCCAAACAAGCTAGCTTTTGAGCAGCGATGGAAGAAGTAATTTTGTTCTCAACTGTAATTTGTCTTACACCAAACCTTTCTCCTTCTGATGATTGTATGACCCTACCTAGTCTCTTTGATCAAGCCTATGTGTATATTTAGGTCCACAGCTGGGCGTGTTTCTCTCCAGACCTGTCGTGCACAGCTGTTTTCTGTGTTTACTTCATTAAGCTCTCTGCAGGCATTCTGCAGCGCACCACCTTGAGGTGGCAGTGAGCTGGCCTCTCCTGAGACGCTTTCATCCAGACCTCAGCCCAGGCCTCTAAGGCTTCCAGCACACTGAAGTGTAAAAGGTTGTTGTGTTTATTAGCTGTGAACTTGTGGGTCAGTGTGAACCATAGTAAGCCAGGCAGCATTCCGTGCTGCCACCTGAAAATAAGAAGCAAGCAGTAGATCACATGGCGGAGGTGACAAAGCAGAGCCACCAGGCTTGGGAGCCAGCGGTCCTGACAGGGCACTGGTCTTGGACGGCCACTTCATGGTGTGCTGGTCAGACCAGACAAGTGGTATCTTAGAGGAGTCGTGTTCCATATTGCAGGAGTTTGGATCCTTTCCAGGTTTATGTGATAGCCTGCACTTGGCCATTCATGACACAGAAGCACCCATTTTGATCAGGACGTTTTGAAGCATGGGTAGTTACCAGTTCAGGGAGCTTGTCTGCGTGTAGCTAAAACCGTAATCTCCTTTTCACTTCCTTGCCTCTCGTGCTGCCTTGCAGTTCCTAAGAACTCCATGCAATTTTGAAAGAAGGCTGTCCATCTAAATGCTTAAATTACTAAGTAAATCACAGCACTTTTTATCAGTGGACAAAGAGGACAATGTTCTTAGTGCTGCCTTATTAAGAATGAGTCATAAATTGGCCAAAACTATGTCTATGATAGAAATCAGTGTAATCTTTCATGTTGAGTAACTCTAACTAGAAGTTGTTAATTCTTGTTTAGTTAGCAGTAGCAATGGTAAGGTGATTGAAGTGATCGCTATGGCTCATTTACATCCTTACTATGCAGAAGGGTCCATGGAACCTGGTGCTCTTCTCGCCTTAACTAGCTCAGACAGTAAAAAGCTGGCTCACGGCCATCGCCCACTAACAGAGCAGACACCTGAGTGACACTGATTCCTCTCGCTTCATTTGCTTGTGATAATTTTAACGAGTCTGTACTTTACAACAAATCTGACGTCGTGGTTTTGTAAAGGTCTTCAGCTTTTCGGAACGCTGGGACTTTATATGACAAAGCAGCCTCCAGTAAGAAGACCTTGCTGCTATGCTTGGCAGTCTTCCCCAGCAGATGTTGAGGGTGAAGGCTGGCAGGGCTCCACCCTCCAGTCCACCGTTGCCCTTTCATTTACCATGCCATTTCTTCCATGCTGGCTGTGTTTGCGGTCTTATTTAGTGTTTGGAAGATATTTTATGCTTGCCACAGGAGAAAAGGAAATAATGTGTGGAAAAAAAATGACTTGCACTTGAGAATACTTTGAGCCAAGAATTTGGAAAATTGAGTTATTTTTCTTCCTTTATTTTTCTTTTTCTTTCCCCTTCTCTCCTTGTTTTTTCTTCCTCTTTTTTGTTTTTGTTTATTGTCCCTCTCCTTTTCCCCCTCTTTTGTCCCCACCTTTTGTTCTTCAAAGACAGGGTTAATATATCCCAAGTGTCTATCACATGTTCAGTATTTTACATCCATAAAGGGGTTGTACATTACATCATTTTTAAATGTACACTTATAAATACTAGGAATATTTAGCATGGAACATTTATGACTATCTCTTAGACGGTTTCAGTTATGAAGGAATTTTAGTAATTAAAACTAGAGGGATAAAGTTCAAAGGTTGTGTGCCAATATCAGATGGAAAAAGATCTCTAAGCACTGCCAAAAAGAAAATGTGGGTCTTTAGATACAATTCCTCTAGTCTCCCAGGTAGTTGAGTGGGCTTGCAAAATACAGTTTAGATTTTAGATGGAGAGATAATTGCTTTATTTTAAAATAAATTGTGATAGGGAAATAAATGAATCTAAAGAGACCAGAATTTCAGCTAAATTTTTCAAAAAGTGAGTCATAAGGAGCGAACGTGAGAGTGTTGTAGGTTCTAGGTCCATTTGGTGGTTTAATGGGATGCATATGTGTAAATTTTCATAGAATTGTATGTGAAATGTTCATCTAGTGTTATGTGAGTTGTACTCAAACACTTAAAAAGAAATCTGTACTAACTAGCTAGACCTTATGCGTTCTCACTGAACTGTAAATAAAACACACTAAGGTAGGAACCTCGGTAGTGCATGTGTTCTAGACTCTAAAGCAAAAGCCCAGGACTCACAGCAGACTAGGTCCAGCCATCTGCCGTGCTTGTCCAGTTACAGAGACCAGGAGTAAAAGACAGAAAATAAGACTTTGATTCAACACATCTCACTGGGGAGAGGAACAGAAAAGGAATTTCATGACCCGCAAGTCAGTCTTCAGGATACTGATAGGAGTTTCAAGTTTAAGTGGTGGGGGGATTGGCTTAGGGGCAGGTGCCACACAGCAAGGAAATCCCATTGTCCTTGAGGTCTGGCTGTGTCAGTTCTGGCTCTATGCTTGTTCCTGTTGCTTGTTTTGCAAGTCTTCCTTGCTCTGTTGCTTGAGAGAACAACCCAGCTTTCCTGTGGTCACTGCCTCTGCTCGAGAGTGAGCTCCTCAAAGAATAATATGTTGCAAAACCCTGCTGGTCCTTGAAGCTGGTGTAACTGCAGGATTAGGACAATGGCTGACCCCAAGGACATGGTGCGACCTGACAGGAAGATGCCTCAATTACAGTCACCTGTGCACCATCCTCCATAAAGGCAGTTGGGATAGGTTAGGTGATACTGACTTTAAACAGACAGGAGTTATTAACATATCAATGTGCAGAGTTAAGCAAGATTCTGGTCTAAAGGTTGAAGACAAAGCCAACAATGTAAGATGCAGGCAGCGATGCCAGCCTTCTAGACTGCTTATCGCAAACTGATGAGTCCAAGTAAGCCTTTAGTGCTTTTAGGCCTACTGTTTCTAAGCACCTGTTAGCATATGCTTAAAGGGTCTTTATATAACCATTCCTCTTCCAAATTAGGCCTTCCTACTTAACTGCCAGCTTACAAGTAGCTATGTGTGTACATACACACCAACTGCGTCAAGGGGCAATCTTCACAACGTGGAACTGGTAACAAGCCTCTCATTGTCGTTCATGGCATGTAGTAAATGCCTTCTCTGAAATAATGAGGTGAATTTGAATCGTACAAACACCTTTTATTTAAACATGTAACTGTAGTTCTAAAATAGGATTCCTAGCAAGGACTTATTGGGCGGCCTCACTCATCACTGAGATGGCACGGAGATTTGTAAGCATAGAGGGTCATGCTGCTTCAAGGGCCACTCACGGAGGATAGTTGGTCAGCTCTTCAGTTATGCTAATATCGTAATAACATGAGCTTTAGCTAATGGCTATCGTCGGAAAAACAATCATTCATACACACACACACACACACACACACACACACACACACACACACTCTAATGCCAAACTATTGTTTTTCCTTAATTCAATCACTGTGTCATATTTGAAGATAACCTGTTGGAACATTACAGTAATCTACACTTGTCTCCTTAATTAGTATTTTCCCGAAAACCCCTGGACTATATGTTCAAGCATAAATATTTCCATGCTTTGATAAATTACCACACAAGCTATCAGACAACTATCCTTTGCAGGTGAATATCTTTCCCAGGTAGCCAGCAGATTCGTTTTCTATAGGTTCTCTCTTTAGGATCGCAGTGTGCCTACTATGTGTTGGAAGACTGGTGAAAGAAGTGTAAATATTATGTGTTTTCATGATCAGAGTCTGGTCTGTCCGTATATCTGTGGGGTCCTTGCCTTACCTACACTTTGGGAACACACGCTTCATGGAGAGGAGACAGCATGCTTGTTTTTTTCTAAGAATCGTTTTCTGCTCTGTGTGGCTTCTTAATGAATGACACTTGAGGGTATTATTGGTATTAATATTTGATTGTTCCACTTATGCCTCATCTCTATAAAGTTTGTGCCAATGAATATTTACTCCACATCTGATCCGTGTGTAGCTAGCCATCACCGCCATACAATCTAAAATGTCCAATTAACTAATTTGAGAGTTTTAAGGTGCAAACCATGTATTTCCTGTTTTTTGTAGTGAATTTGTTGAGACTCCCTGCTCTTCAATTTAATTGTATTTTATCTAAAAAGTTGTAGGTCTCTGCTCTGTATCACAAAGGCATTAAAATAAAGGACAAGATGAGGGCCAGCAGTATGGCTCGGTGGGTAAAGGTGCTTCCTGCTGCCCCTGACCACCTGAGTCCAGCAAAGAGCCGTCTGCAGTGTGGCATCCACTGCCCTCCACTCATGTGCTCATACGTACATAAAGATGCATAAATAAATGTAACTTTTAAAAAACTAATCAGATGCCAAGAGAGGCGTTGCAAGTGGTACCTTAGGTTGTATTCTCTTTGCTTCTCAGTATCCTCTGGTTTGAGAAGGTTGTCCATAATACACTGAGTTCTTGTTAATTGATAAAATGAGCAAATACAATGGAAGATGCTTATTTTCTGTTTATTTTTTTTTTCTTTAGTGTGTGCTGTATTTGTGGGCCTTGAAAATTCTTTACCCCAAAACACTGTTTTTACTTCGTGGAAATCATGAATGTAGACATCTAACAGAGTATTTCACATTTAAACAAGAATGTAAGTATACTGCAACTTTTTCCTTTAATGTCATATGTACTAAATTATCATTTTAACTGGTAAATGAAAACATACTATGTTTTTATTCTCTGCATAAAGGTCAAAGCTTTAGGTGACATTTCATATCATCTTTCTCAACATGGGCAGTTTTAATGAAACATTTAATTTTAAATTGTGTTTATCATTCTTATAGAATAGCATACAATTGTCTTTGGTCATATGGACTCTCCACCCTACCCTCTAACTCCTCCCTGGTTCACCTCCATAACCCTACACCCAGAATTTTGTCTTTTATCCGACCTTCCATTTCCAATTTATATTGCTCATATACTCCTGGATGTGGGCCCATGCAATAGAACATCATCAACTTACCCTAAGCTACACCCTTAAAGAAAACTAACTCATCCTCCTAGAGAGGCTATGAACTGTCCATAGTGTGTCAGGTAATGCAGAGCTCATGGATCCTTTCTGCTCCCATGCTAGAAGAGGGACAGAAAGATTGTACGAGGCAAGAGCTGGGGAAGTAGAGAACAAAAGAATGTCTTCTGAGTATGACAGGACCACTTACTCATGAACTTACAGTGGCTGTGGTAGCCTATACAAGGCCTGCATAGGATCGAGCCAGAATGTGTTTTCTTAATCATAGGTTTTATCAAGTGGCCTATTAATCTGAGCTAAAGTTTCATGTATGTCGTAGTACACAACTACTGTTTAGGAAAGTGAGTCTTAGTCAAGTCCAGAAAAAAAAAATGGGGCCAGATTGAACCTCTGTTTTGCAGCCTCATAGATATCAGCCCCTAGGACATTAGACCAAATGAAAGCTGATTCCTTTCTTATATATAGATACTTGGATAAAGGAATGCTTTTTGTATAAGTTCTATTCCCCCCATCTGTTTTCCCCGCTGTTTACTGAAACTTTAATTCTTTTTCTCTCTGTAATTTGGTTTTATATTCAATGAAGCATAAAGACTTTCCTAAAAACATTAGCTGTGAGTCAATATGGGGAAAATAAGAACTCTGTGAGGCAGAAAAAGCTTCAGAAAGTTTCTTGGCTATGGCTTTTCTCCAAAATCTTATGGGAAATATCAACCAGCTTTATGGCCATCGTGTGTGTGTGTGTGTGTGTGTGTGTGTGTGTGTGTGTGTGTGTATACACATAAGGTATGTAAAAGTCTTGAATTTATAGACAAAAGTTATAATAAGTAAACAATATGGAGTAATATCAGAAATAAAAAATATTATATATGAAGGTTAATCTATGAGTCTTGGAAATCATATTGATTCTGTTTGGAAGGGCCACATTCATATTACCCTGGCAAAAAAACATTGAAAAGAACCAAAGTGAGTTCAATAAGATGTTCCTCGTGACAAAGGCATGACAGTAACTCTTTCCTTCTCACTGTATTTCAAAGGTAAAATAAAGTATTCAGAACGAGTTTATGACGCCTGTATGGACGCCTTCGACTGCCTTCCGCTGGCCGCACTGATGAACCAGCAGTTCCTGTGTGTCCATGGTGGTTTGTCCCCAGAGATTAACACTCTAGATGACATCAGAAAAGTAAGCTCTATTATTGTCCACGTCTGCTCGTTCTCTGTCCTTCAGCAGGTACTGGACGACCTCACTGTCCCACCCCTCTCACTACTTGCGTCGTTTTCATTTAAAATAACTGAACGCACTCGCATCTCCCTGACTTGTATCAGATTGTTATCTTAAAGAGAAGCTACATCTCTAGACCCTCAGGGTTTGGCTGAGCACATGGCATTTGTCATGAAACAATCATATATTTGATCTCTAACGCATATGGGCAGTTTCATTTTCTTATTTTTCAAATAGTCCACCGTATGTTCCTGGTTTGTTAAATTGGAAAAGTTGCTTGGTCTTTGGAGAAATAGCACACCTTAACCTTTAAAATGTCTTTATCATGATAATCTTTGTTCTTGTTGTTCCACTATATAATATTTCAGTCAGCATTTAGCAAAGGCAAAGGTAGTATTGTGTTGACTGTATTAAAAGTAGCGGCATTTTTTCCCGAAGCATGCTTTGACTTCGTGTTTACTGTCGCTGTTATTTCCCAGCAGAAGGATAACTGAGGTGGAATGAGGAAGTGTATTGTCTACTTTTCATGAAACAACGCAATAATACTTGACAGTGCTGCACAACAGAAATAATGTTTCATTTCTCAATGTTTATATTCTAATAATGCAGCAATGTAAGAAAAGACATGGGAGATTATTAAAAAGAATATTATTGTACTTTTGGTGCCCAAATCTCCAAAAGAAAGCACAATAAAAACATTTTCCTGTATCTTCTGCACATATGCTTGTAGTTGTCTAACACATGATATTTGTATGTGCGCGTATACAGGAACATACAGGATCGTAATTTGGATATAATTTTCTCCACTAAGCTTTTGAGCTAAGAAACCAAAGCCACATTTTTTTCTGCAGGAATTACTGATGTGTAAAGACTGTCTCAGACACCTCTCCCTGCCTTTTAGAGCCCTGGGAAAAGGGATTACACTCTCCCAAGCAGAGAAGCGAGTGTGGAGATGAGTCTGACCCCCTTTTGCTATTCTTGCCAGTCACGTTAGAAGGAATGAGTAACTGAAATTATTCTGAATCACTGCATTTCAACTCAAGTTGGAATCTGACTGAGTTTTGCTAGAAAGATACATGCTATCTGGTAACTATTTGAGCCTGATATGCTGTAAGTAAACTCTGGCTTCAAACAGGTCATCCAGTAACCTGGATGCCAATGAGTATACAAGTAGTAGCTTACTTAAGATTCCTCATGTACATAACTCAAATTCTGCCTGTGGGTATTCATACACAAGACCCAGTGATGTCATTTCAGTAATTGATACTTTTTTATTTTTTAGTTTCTTGAGCTTGAATGTTTCCATTGCTGCCTCACAAATTTGTATTCTGAGCAGCAGTTCCAAGTTAATTATAGGAGCTGTCTTTAGTTAATATTAATTTAGTAAGTAGTATTTTCCACCATGTTTAGTGATGAAATAAAATCATCACGCAACCTGTATACTAGGAACTATATAGCTTATCATGGCAGGGGAATGGAAAATATGACACTATAAGCAACCAGCTTTGCTGTACGAACAGATGCTGGGAACCACACACATGCATGTGTGTTGTGCTTGATAACATTTACAAATTCATGGGCCTAAATGAAAGATGCAAAGTGTATCAAGCATCCTTCCAACAGGAGAAAGTATTGAAAATCCATTCTATGCCCTTTTTACTCCTTTTGAGGGAAAAAAAAAAACAGAAAGGACTTAGCTATTTAACTTTTGTGTTAAAACTGTAGTCATTGACAAAAAGAAACAATGAACCTGAACTTTAAAATGAATAATCATTTTCATATTGCTTACTGTTCCCTTAGTAATGTTCAACGGAATTTACAGAATTGAGAAAATAACAAATCAAATCACAAATATATTTTACTTTATAAGTATCTATTTCCATGAAATCAATATTTGTTTTTATCTCAGGAAGCCAAATATTCCACTCGTGTCATTAATCTGCAGCTGACTTATAGTCTCAGAAGTAGAGGGAATAAACACTTTTTTCCCCAATAGGAAGGTAACTGTGCTATTATTTTTTCTTTAAAAATCAAACAAGGGGCTAAAGACATATCTGTGGCAGAGGACTGCAGTTTGGTTCCCAGGAGCCATGCCAGGTGGCTCTCAACCACCTGTAACCCCAGCCCCAAAGGATCTGATGCCTCTTCTGGCTTCAGGGGTCACCTGTGCTCACATGTTCATACCAGTGCACGAATATACATATAACACCATCATGTTTTAAATTAATCCTGAAAAATTAAATGAAAGCACATTAAATAAAACACAGATTCTTCTCCGTGTACCACCGTCCTCTGCCATGAGGCACCATTACTATTTCTTCTGGGGTTGTTTTGCACAGACTGCAGTGGTCATGATGGCTACGCAGTGCATAACTGGGGAAACTAATTCCATATGCAGCCCCCAAGAATGATGCTAAAGCCTAGAAGTGTGAGCAGGGTCTAGAGAAATGTGGGGCGCTTTTACTCTAACGCTGTTATTTGCACCGAGACCAGCAACACAGTGGCATGCCCTCCAGCTAGAAGCAGAGGTGGCTTCTGAGGAGTGAGTGTCACCGTGGTTCGAAGCAAGTGGCTCCTCAGAAAGCGAAAGCCACCCACTCTCAAAATCATTCTGTCATGTTAAAAAGGACGTCACAGGGATTCTCATCGAGGTTTGAAATGACAGTTCTCTGCGGGTGGTAGACAGAACAAAATCAAGCTCCTCCTTCACAGATAAGACAGGAATAGATTGAAATCATGATAGTGACTGTGTTATTTGGATGAAAAAAATGAGAGAAAGATTAAAAGGAAATGGACAAAAAAAAACAAGAGGAAAGTGTAAGGATTAAATAGACAGAGAGAGGCAAAGGGGAAGATGAGGGCACAGACTACGTGGGTATATTTATTTCATCATGAGGAAGAAGAGAGGAAAAGCCCAGAAGTAAGATGAATTGGGATGAAGTGGGGACTGGAAGAGGAGTGGATGCCATTTCTCCCATCTGAGGCTGAGGGATGGGAGCGGATGGTCATCACTCAGAGCTGCCTTCCTGTGTGTTCCGAATTCTGAGTGTCCAAAGATGAGTATTTTGTTCTCTGTCTTCTATTTTTCTTAGTTAGACCGATTCAAAGAACCACCTGCTTATGGGCCCATGTGTGACATCCTGTGGTCGGACCCCCTGGAGGACTTCGGGAATGAGAAGACTCAGGAACATTTCACTCACAACACAGTCAGGGGATGTTCATATTTCTACAGGTGAGGACCTGGGTCTCCCTCTCAGGCTGGAACCTGTCTGTCTTACAGTATTGGGGTTTAGGAAGGAAGTAGATACACAGATATAAAGAATGTATACCTGCATACAAAGGCATATGTATATGAATTCTGTGAATAATATGAAAGAAATGAAAGGCAGGTGCTGGGACAGGGAATGGCTGCTGATGAGAAAATATACTAAAAATGGTCTCTACTCCATGAACTGCAAGAGGGTCTCTTTACTGGCCTTCCTTTCTTTCATCCATAAACGTACTCTTGTTTCACCAGTTTGTATAACTTAAACCAGAAAACCAAACTCTCATTGGCTGACTAAGTCATACTCATCCTCAGATTAGTTTAAAATGTTTCCAGCTTCCTGGATGGCTGGGACCCACCAGTTACAGAGTATCTAGGTAACCGGATGGGTGGGTTCACATTTAGCACTTTGATAAGTCAGATTGAAAATGTCTTAATAGTGCATTTTACATGTGCAAGTGGGACCTGGATATCCAGTCACTTCAGAAAGGAATCTGTAGGGCATTTGGGGTTCTGTGTGTCCGAGCCACTTTACTGACCTTTTACCCTCAGCTTTGTCTGCTGCACATGGTATTTTACACTTGGTTTGGTCCCTTCCAGTGTGATGTAATGGTGGGAATGTTCCTAGGAGGAAATAGAATATAAAAACAAAATGGAGAATTTTAAATTCTAAAACACATTCTGTTTTCTTTTTTAATTTTCTATTTCAACTTAAAATAATACACCTGATGTTCCCTAGAACTAATGTTCATTTCCATGAAATGATTTAGTCTAAAAACCTCTGTAAAAACAATTCATTAACATACTCCCACAAGCTGATAGTATGCTCTGTGTAAGTTTTCTATTCAATAGTGGAACATATTCTATGCATTAAATTTTATTGTAGATGAAAAAGTTTTTCATTTGTTAGTATGATTGGGAAATTCATTTTGAACATAAAGTCATCTTTTCTGGAAACCATAATTGTGGGAGTGAGTTCTATTTTATATAATAATAGTGAAGCTTATTCTGAACCAAAATGTCAGGTTGCAAATTATCTTATGTTTTGGAAGAGGCACAAGTGTTGATGACTTATATGTCGGTAAAATGTTCTATAATTCTGAAAAGCTTAAAACTTCCTGTCAATAATCACTTAACTTAGGCATAACATTTTATGAAGATGTTTGTCCTTATAGAAAAGAGGTATTTGAAGTAAATTAAAGCCAAATGTTAGACCTTTCAAATCTGGTATTAAATGCCCCAATTATGTATAGGTCTCTAGGTTACCTGTTGTGTTTCACTAAAATAATACTATAAAGAACTCAAACATGATTATAATGTTGACTCATATTGAATTTATCTGTAGCATAGCACTCTGCTGTCAATCTACTGGGTCAGACATCCAGGCAAACCTTGTTCTGAATGACACCGGACTAAACTTACACAGCACACAGTCCTTTTCATTTTGCTGAGACATATATGAAAAGAGTTTTGGGGAGCTTACAGTTTCAGAGGGTGAGTCCATCCCCATTATGATTGAGAGCGTGACAGTGGGCTAGCATGGCACCGGAGAAGTAGCTGAGAGTTTGCCTGCTGAGATAACCATGGGGAATGCTGTGAGCTTTGCTAAAACCTCAAAGTCCACACCGACTGACCACCTCCTTCAACAAGGCCACGCCCCTTAACCCTTGCCAAACAGTTCTACCAACTGGGGATCAGGCATTCACTCATGAACTTATGGGGACGGTCATCTCTTTCAAACTGTTACATTCTGAAAATATAGACACAAATATACAGTATTATCGATCACACAGATGGTTAGAGTTAAGCACATTCTCACACTTAAATTCTGCAGATCAGCATGGGTTTCTTCACAGATGTTGACCTTTGATCTTGACAGATGTATTGCTGTGGAGCTAAATGTCTGAATCCAGAACTTGTGACACTGACTGTTAGCAGAGGATTCTGGGTATTCTAGTCTGTCAGAGGGAAAGAAGGATATACCATTAGCACAGAGGGTTTTTTTTTTAAATTCTTTTGTCTTTAAAGTCACCTTGAAAGGATCAGAGGCATTCTTTTAAGTTCATGCCTTAAAGTTTGTCTAGACAGGTATTAGTGACTGTAAAATTAGCCAAAGAGCTTAGTGGTTGCATCCCTTTGGAGTTAACTGTCAATTATCTTGACTTACAATTTTATTTTGCGTGTCTCTATGCATTCTGGATAATTGATATGCCACCCTATTGACTGTATAACATATTATATAGACGATGATTTAAATAGCACATAGTCACACAGAAAAATACATCAGGATAGGGCTGGAGAGATGACTCGGCAAGTAAGAGTGCCTACTTCTCTTGCCTAGGATCTGGCTTCAGATCCCAGCACCCACACACATCTGGTGCCTCCAAACCACTGTGAGCCTGACTCCAGTGAGGTCGGGCACGCCTGGCGTCCTTGGATATGCATATACATACATTCACACATACTTATAATTGAGAAAGAAATTAAATATCGTTAAATGTATCAGAAGAGCTTTTCCCCTGGCTTTTTAATTACGTTCCTAGCAATGCCATGCATGTATGTAGTAGATTCTGGGTGCTTTCTCACACCAGCCTCTCTTATTTGCCCCCTGCTCCTGTCACCTCCCATCCCAGACTCATGGCTTTTGGCATTCTTTGTGACTCATTTGGTTTAATCAGTATTATTCTAGTGACCCTAGAATGGGACAAAAGTATCTGGTCAAAACCAAAATTCCTTGGCTGCTCCACCCCCAATATTTCCATTAACTTCATAATCACAGGCCATAGCCTTCACCCTCAATTGCCCACATTGTTCAGACAGGTGACTGAGATACTGCATGTGGGCCAGCATCAGACTGGAGATTATTGTGGTTCATAACATATGGGAGATAAAGTCAGAAAAGTGGGGAGGAGTTTTGGTCTTTGGTTACCAGTTTCTGTCTGCACCAAGTGCATCATGGAAGCACTGTATTCTGGGCCTTCTGCTTTATACTGTTTGAGTTCAGTTAGGGCATTCCAGCATTGTTGTGAAGACCTAGTCTGGGGTTGCACCGATGAGAATGTTAGTGTGCTAGTGGCTGCACGTGCAGCTCACTTGAGCCCCGTGAGTATTAGCGTGCCCGTGGCTGTGCCTGCAGCCTTGAAGCCCACAGCAGCAGCCTCCAACTCCTTACCACGCTCAAATCCCTCCAGTTCTGAAGCCCCCTGCCCTTCTTGTCTCCTCTACCCCATTCAGAAGACAAGCATAAAATTGTTCATTGCATCAGTAATCATAAGAGCCAAGAAATGGAGACACCTAAACACCTGCTTAGTAGAATCATAAACTATATAACATCAAGATGTACGGATAAAGGTAGAAATAGCACCTTCTTTACAGATTAAAGTATACTCAGTGTGTGTGTGTATGTGTGTGTGCACACAATAACTACTACAAGTCACATATATGCACAAAGTGCTGACTATAGCAAATGAGAGTGATCTAAACAAAACCACGCATATCAACATAGATGAATAGCATAAATATGATGACGAGAAGAAGTCAACAGTCAGGTACAATGAAATGAACTCTGCATACAAGAAAACTAGTCTCTAACATTGAAAGCCAAGGTGCCTGTTGCCCTGCGTGAGAGTGACAGCTCTGTCTCTGAGCCGTAGGTATGAGGTATGAAAGTCTTCTGATTTATGACCTTTATATATAGATATTTCACTTCAATAAAACATTCGCTGCAGGTTAGGAATGTAGCTCAGTGGTAGAGCACTTGTACGTAAGACCTGGATTTGGTCCCCAGCTCTTCAAAGTAAGAGTTTGCTTAAGTAGCAACTCCTTGCCACATATCCAGATCCAAGTGAGGGCTGTGTTCTGCAGAAGGTCTGGCAGGAAGTGGAAGCCTCAGCATCTCAATTCTAAATTCCTTAGAGGACCCTGGAGCAAAGGAGAGACCAGAAAGTCCTAGGAAAAGAAGGCTGAAAAGAAGCCCCAGGGTACTGCAGGGTTGAGTACCCATCACTAGGCCCCAGCAACAGAGGAGAGGAGCATCTGGGCAGGCTGCAAGGAGTAAGAGCATCAGGAGGAGGAGGAAGCTTCCTGCCTACACCGTGGTGTCCAGGGCTGAGGGGGGCAGGAAGACCAGCACCCTCCGCATCTTTCCACGGGTGACTGCCCTTGCTGAGGCTCTTTAAGTGACTACACATGAGCTCCAGGAGGTGACAGGTTGTTGCTAAGCACTCTGAACAGGGAGTGGAGAGAGCAGCGCATTCCCTCTGCTGGAATGTTCTGTAGCTAAAGGGCAGATCTCTAATCATACTTTGCATAACCCTGTGATAAGGATCAGGTAAGTCCAAGGTGCCAGCTGGGGAGGCAGCAGTTTCACAGGCCTGGGGGTGAAGTGGGCTTGACAAGAAGGCTCCTTACAGGGTCACATAACTCAAGTGGAGGAACTGGTCTTTTCAGGAGGAAAAAACACCCAGGGAAAGTATCTGCCAGGGCTTATGCATGCGCAGAGCCATTGTAGTGGTACCTGCAGGCAAAATCTTGATGAAAAGGTCTAAGGTATTTAATTCAGAGTCCAGAATGCGGTTGATGTTAGAGGACCGTGAATAAGGAAACAAGGAGCTCCAGTACAGCTTGTCTACTGTTGCTCCGTGTTCTTTTAGCCTTCGGTGTTCACATTCCGTCTCCAAACCCCCTCAGAGCAGGGTCTTCTAATCCTCTCCTGTCTACTGATCCCCATCCAACACGAGAAGAACTTTTGCAAGATCACATTCACAGTGTTCTTTCATGGCCAACAGGTGCAGGGTGGATGGGTGGATGTGGTACTGCCTTACTCTGTAATATCTAAATAACATGTGGAATATTTTATCTTCAGTACATTTTATTCCTCTGTAGATTTTTAATTTTTTTATCATATCAATGTTTCTGTCCATTTTATAAAACACTGCACAACCTGCCCTTCCTTCTGGCAAAGGGAACAATCCATCACCTGCTCTAATAGATTACCACATTTCGCCTCTGCAGAGTCAGAGAATCTGCTGCCAAGTGCACACACACATGGGTGCACAGAGGAACCCAAAACTCTTTACAGTTTGTAAAGGAACTGTTGTTGCCAGAGAACTAAATCTTTCCTGCAATCTGTATTCGTTGCTTTTCTCCTGCTGTGACAAAATACAGGCCAGAGCCCTCTGAGGAAGGAAGAAGGGTACAGCCTGTCCCAGTGCAGGAGTCAGGTTGCCCGAGGCACCATCAGCTGCTCATATTAGGTCTGCTCTGCAGTCAGAGAGCAGAGAGAGTCTGATGCTGATACTCACTCAGCTCATGGCCATCTCCATTTTATTATTCCGGCCAGCATCCTCTCCCAAAATATGTGCTACCAGCTAGGGTAAATCTGCTCACTTTGATGAACCTAATGTTAAAAACTCCAGCGCAGACATGCCCAGTTGTCTCCTGGATGTCTCTAGTATCTGTCAAGCTGACCATCACTGCTACGCATCACACAGTTGATGTCCCTAGGCATGTACCATCTTACAAGTATTTTCTTCCTGTTGATTGGAGAATTCATGCAAGTATATAGCATAGAAACTACATTTGTCTTCTCTACTATTTTTTTGTCCCGTATAATAAATTGTTTTTTTATTTATCAATATATCCAGGTATGTGTATTTTAAGTTATAGTGAATATTGTCGTTTATTCATAAAATACTGGTTTTTCTGACCTTAATTTTAATTTCCAATTTAAATTCAAAAGCTTATGGATTTTGAATTTATTTCAAGATGTCTTAGAACAAAGGTATAGTGGTTATAGACAGTATTTTAAGTTTCAATTTGTAATTTGGGTTTCAATTATAATTACATTTGGAGATTGAAGCTTTTTTCAATTTTCATTTTATTTCTTACTCTGGGCGTGTGATGCTGGGTATGTGAGCACAGGTGTGCACACCAAGACACACATGTGGGAGTCAGAGGATGCCTTTCCGGAGCAACTTCTTCCCTTCCACGTGTGTGTGCCTTAGCTGTTCCCAGCGCCAAGAGACTTGTTTCCTGAGCCTTGTACGATGATGCTGGATCCCAGCATTACCTGGGTGTCCCAGTGATGTGGCGACGCCTGAAGACCTCCTAACCACTGCTTCTCTTTTCTTTCCTTGTCTGGCAGTTATCCGGCTGTCTGTGACTTCCTGCAGCACAATAACCTGTTGTCCATCCTCCGAGCCCACGAAGCCCAGGACGCGGGGTGAGTGCTGCTGAGGCCTTCTCACAGGTGTTCCTCACCCCGCTGAGGCCCCACAGAGTCCCTTTGGCCAGACTCAATTCCAGAAGGAACTGGTTTTAAAATGGGCTTTCTAGCAACTCAGGTGTGGCAGAGTTGCGGGGGCTACATGACTGCTGAGGTCTGGGGAATTCCTCTCTCACATTCCTCTGTCTTTAGAGGGGAGAAATCTATTTCCATTTGTCTTCTTAAGGACTCGTTTTCTTAAAGGCACCTTCCCTTATTTCTTTCAATTCTTGCAATCACTATGTACCAAGGTGGAAAACCAACAGCCACCTCTCAGTCTGTGAACCAGTGTGAATGAGAGTCACAGATATTTAGAGATTATTATAAATTGTAGGCTTCTTTTAAAGCATCCCGCTCCTGCTCTTTGTAGAGTTTTATAGGGAAGAAAATTAGGACATTAATTGAATAATAGAAAATAATAATACCATGTTCTGACTATCAAATAATTCAACAGAATTTATTTTATATTTGGTGAATTCTTAAAACCTCGTTTTCAGAGTTTGGAAAACCAAGAAATGTCAAGTGTTTACCTCAGTGTTTTGTACGAGGTGGGGGGGGGGGGCTTTGGGCTTTGCTTGCCTTTAAAGAAACAAACTCGTCCCTTTGAATTTTGCCCTTTTCTGAAAAGTGAAAGAGGTCCTTTTTAAAACCTGCGTGCTGAAGCGGGGTGTTTCTGCTTCGCTACGGGATCCCATGTGGCACCTGGCTCTGGCACATGACAGAAGCTAAGGTCCCTTCCGAGCAGTGCCTGGGGAGGTAGGAGCTAATAATAATCGTATAGTGTATAATCGCTGACCCTTGAAGTGACCTGTTCATGCACACAATGCCCGGACCCTCAGAGCTGTTTGAGCTCAGGGGTGCAGGGTCCATGTTATTTCTGGTAGGTTTTTTTTTTCCAACAGGCTAGACATTTAGAACAGATATATCTTAATCACATTGCATACCTGAGACTACTTGGACATGGTTGACTTAACTGGCGAAAGTCAATTAGCATAAAATATTTTTGTTTAAAATGACCAGTTTCTTAATTGTTTGGGTAAGTTGAGGACATGTCATGTAGTTTTGTTATTTATTTATTTATTTACTTAATCTCGAAGTAGCCCTAAGCAACCTCATCTTATAAAGTCCAAGTACTAGTAGGAATATGTGTCTTAACCAAGTACTCTTCCCTTGAGAAGCCCCCACTTGCTCGCAGCATATCTGATAGATAGTCAATTAGTCTTTCAATAATGTTTTCTTGTTCCTTTGGGGGAGAAAGGGTATATTCTTGTTTAACACTATGACAACCCCAGCCCCTACCCCAAACAAAACATAACTAAATAACAAAATACTTCGGAAATATTTTAAAAGGTTTTTAATGGGGGGGTTTCTTTTGGGAAAAGCCAAGGTCTGAGTATTTCCAGAAAGAAAAAAATCAAAATCTGTTTAGAATTTAAATATTAAAGTGGATGTCCGTGTAAAGGTGCTATTTGGGCAACTCTTAGAACTCAGCAACCAGGGAAAAGGAAAAGGACAAAAATTTTAAATATATATATATATATATATATATATATATATATATACATATGAAGAAACAATAAGATTGTGTTGTATATGAATGTTTCTAAGTTGATATTCATAATTCATAAGACAGAAATCATGAGACACATTTTCATAGGGATGGAAAGAGAGGCTCTGCCTCCTGTTCTTTTTGATAGATAATTGAAGTGTTATATTGCAAATTATTTTTGCCCTGGTAGAAGAGAAGTAATAGGGTGGTTTCTTTCCAGAAGTTCTCATGGATGCTCTGTTCAGTACTAGTTGATCAAATCTCCCCCTGCTGAGACAATAACCTTTGCTGTGCAGACACCCGCAGAGACCGATAAGACAGACAATTCTAAAATAGAATGTCTCAATTAGCCAAATTCATAGATGTGATGAGACATTCTTGAAGGAAAAAAGTATCACTGTACCCTATGAAATCACTCAAGCAAAAGATTTATATGTAACCTTGTCAAGAATGGTTTGCAGAATGACTGGCCTGGGTCTCAACTCTCTGGACTGGCCCGGTCTCTGAAAACTCTAGCCTGTATGTTTTCTGTTGAACACCTGAAAGTGAATTATACTTCTTCTGGATTCCACCCACCCCTGAGGTTTGCTAAGTTTAAAAGCTACCCATTTGGAAAACCACACATATGATTGGAGATTTGCATTCCTGTTGCTCCTGAAATAGATCCGTGCCTATGTTCAAAAGACTTAGAGAGATTTGATTTAGCATATGTCATTGGATCCTCTTTGAAAGGCGGAACTTAACTGAGTTCCTGTTTGCAGATGTATGTAGTTGGGTGTCCATGCTCATTCCCCTTACCTTGTGTTTGTTGCCTTAGGTACCGCATGTACAGGAAAAGCCAAACAACAGGCTTCCCTTCTCTGATTACAATTTTCTCAGCACCAAATTACTTAGATGTGTACAATAACAAAGGTAAGTGTAAAAACTTGATGAAATCTTAAAAAAAAAAAAAACTTGATGAAATCTTAAGTACTGTGTGTGCTCATGCTTAAAATGATTCTGACTTGACAGTTAACATTTCGTTACCATTCCTCTTTTTGCTAGTCCCTTCTATGCTTAAAGAAAGAAAGGGGTTCAGTTGTTCAGAGGTGGGGTTACTGCACTGCTGCTTCTTAGCTGTTTTCTAGACTGTATCTGATGTATAATAGAGATACTATTTTCTCTCTAGTAGATACAGACTTTTAAAAAAAAATAGTAATTGCTCCTTAAAGAGGCTACATGTGTATACTGCCCCTTTAGCTGTGTTTGTTCAGCAAAGTTGTGTCTAGCAAAAGAGAAGTTACAGTTTAAAATTACAATAGGATTTATGGAGCCCATACCATGAAATCACCTTCTGAGCTGAACAAGTACAGGTTCAGTTCTTTATAAGGAATATTAAGCTTCAAGGTAAATCTTAGCTGGCCCTCCCTGCGAATGCCTATAGTCAGTGCTTCTCACGGACTCCTTCAACCAGGAAGTCATGAATTGGGATGCAACCCACAGTTCTGAACTGGCGTTCTGAAATGCCCTACCTGCTTCCTGAACAAACAGGGAAGCCAAAGGGCATTATATGCTGGCTGGGAGGAAAGGGGACCTGAATGAGTCAGGTCTACCTTCCACCAGGAAGCTGAGTCCTGGTTTTAAAATGACTTGGTGTGCTTGGTGTGTCAGAGCAGGGGACAGAATGTGGAGAAAGGATTCATTAGTAGCCATTGGTCAGGGTATTATGGAGGGAATGTCTCTTTAGCAAAAGAGACATCAGTCAAATAACGCATGAGGTGAAGAATAGCCCAGGCAGGGCAGGGAAGCGCGAATCCTGTTTCTGAGCATGCTGGAAACTGGAATTAGAGTAGTACACGTCTTCATCTGTGTGATGGCCATCCTCTCACAGAAGGGCATCCAAGCCTGGACCCTGACAGCCCCCAGAAGCCAGGGTAGGCCACCTTTCCTTAATTATTCCTTGAATAACGAATAGTGAAAAGCAGAGAAAGGACATATATTTCCTGTACCCATGTCACAAACAGGGAGCTACATCTCTAAGGTCCTGACATGAAACTTAGGTTTAAATAGAGAGCAAGAGGCATGCACAGTGGAGACGCTGTGGTCAAGGTGTGGTCCAGGCCATCATTACTGTCCGGCTCTGACTGTTGTCAGTGCTAAGTAAATTCTCTTTCTAGGATGCCAGTTCCCCTTCTGGCTGGCACCACTCTTCAACTTTCTTTTCTTCTACCAGCATGAGATTCCTGGGGGAATTCCAATTTCTTGGGGTCTATTGTTTCAACACTATAGTAGGGCAAATGTGGGGCATAAGTCTGCCTTTGAAATATTTTCTTCCTGCCAGGATTGTCACGCTCCTCCCCTCCTTTTATGCTTTCTAATGTTACCAGGAATCCTGCTCCAAAAGGCAAAGTGGCCTGTCTTCCTACTGCCCCGCTCTTATCCTGTCCCTCTCTCCGCACGCCTGTTTTGCCTGCGGTGAGTGGATACCACCCTCAGACCTTTCAGCTCTGAGAGCGAGGAAAGCTAGAAGAAGTGTGCTATAGCTGCCTAACTGTTTCCGAGGCCACACTGAATATGACAGACCTCCCTTGAAGCTAAGGGTGGAGGTATCCATGGACATGGTACAGCCATGGTTCCTAGCAAAGATGTGCTGTCCTTAGAGAGGCAAGAACTCCAAATATAATAGGGCACACCGTCTGCCTCCTGTGCCCCGAGGCAGTCATTAAGCAGGATTCTGGGGACTTACTGACAGTCTAAACTGTTAATGGGGGTCCACGGGAAATGCATTTGGCAAGAAGGAATTTTCTGAATAGTTAGGGAACGTCTTGTTTAAAATTTTGATCCTGACATAAAAGAATCCTCAATTTTTGTAGGAAAGATATAAAAAGTCAAGGCTCGTGAATTTTTAAAGCAATAAATTTATTTTGAATTAAACTAATAAAAGGTTACTTGGATTAGTTAGATGAAGGTTTTCAACATTTGTCTGTGTGTGGACATTGGCCAGAGCATTTCGCACCATGCTCCTGTAATCCGCCTTAAGTATGTGCAGTGTAAATATTGTGCTACAGTCTTTTAAAGGTTTTTCTGTTAAGTCTAAGGAAAAATAAGAAAGGCACCTGCTTGTCTGTAATGTCAGCCCTTGGGAGGTGATCAAGACTGGAAGGGCATCATCAGCCACCAATGTCCACACTAACCTGGGCTAAATGATACCCTATCACAGCCAAACAAGCAAACAGAAAGCGCCAAGGAAGAGAATGCCTTCCCAAAACACTTTCATGACATAGTCATTGACAAATAGCACAGACTGTTCTTCGGCACTTAGGAGAGTTAAATAAAACCCAAGGCATTAAAAATGAAGACAGTCAGATGTCATTCCAGAATGCCCTTAGACCCTTCTTCCCATCCTTCCATGTAGCACTATTTCTCGGGGGCAGAAAACTCCTTCTCCTAAACTGAGTTATGTCGCCTCTTGGTGCATGGTTCCAGCATGATAACCAGGGACTTGAGCACAGGAGAAGGCAGGGATTTGCTGTCCTTGAGATCTGTGTGGCTCTTCAGCTCTTATCTCTTGCTTTGGGTTAGTCACAGTCCTTTGGGGAGAGGAGAAAACTGTTTGCATGTGGGGAACCTTTTTATAAAGCAGAAATTCTCTCATGAGAAAAGAGAGACTGAATGAGAAAAGAAAGGTGTATTCTTCCGTTGGAACATAATGTCAAAAGACTTTTGTGTCAAATTTCTGAAGCACTTTACAGCTATTATGCTAACAGCTTGTACAGTATATGGGAGTGGGAGTCAATTATTCACTGCTAACAGCGTGGATTGCTTGATTTGAATAAAATCAATGTTAGCTAGAATTTTAAAAAGCCAGGCAACAAAACTGAGTTGCAAGACTTTCAGCGACATAATCGATGGGAGAACAGCAGGGAGGGTTCTGTGAGGTAATCTTTGACGGTTAGAGACAATGACCACCAAGAACAGTAGTCACACTATGCTTAGTGAAGATTCTGCACAATGAGACAGAAGTGACTCTCTCAGGCCAGGTGAAAGTATGAGAATATAGTGGGCTTATGGTGCGACTTCCAAACCAAAGCTAGCGTGGGCCAGACATGTGTTTAATGTGCAGTTGTTTCCATTCGGAGCTGTTCCTGACCACAGTTATTGGCACTGAACAAGTTTATATTAGTAATTTACTACTGCCTCTTTCTGCTACAGTAATTAGCTACGTAGAATGCACCATGCTGCAGGGTATCTGGGCTGTGTTAAACTTGATCTTTGCCCTAATGTGCCTTAGGCTCTGTCATCATGGTAGATACAATTAATTACTTCTTTCAGTAAAGATTTAGTATGTTTGAGTAGTGCTATAAGTAAGAGAAAAGCAAGATAGATGAGTGGAAATTAATCCATGAAGACAGGAATAGCTTAACTCAAAAAGAGACAGTTAAGAGCAAAATCATTTGTGACTAACAAAAAACTGGACCAGAAACAAATGATGCTTTGGACAGTTTGACCAGATCTTGGAATAAATGTCTAGGGAAGAAAAATAACACTGTATATTATACCTTCATACAAACAGGCAGGTCCTTTAGATTCTTAAAGTGTAACTGTCCTTATAGATTAGCCTCTCCCCATCAGTATTGACAGGAAACCTTCTGTCTCTAAATGTGACTGAACAGAATCTCAGGTAGGTGACAAAGGTGTCCTCACCAAGCCAGTTCTCAGGTTCTGATGAGTTCTTGGATAAGTGGGTGAGCGGATAAATGCAGACATGGGATGTATGCAGAGATATGTTAGTGTACATACCAGGGATCTGTGGCTGAGCTCCAGAGTCGGCTACTGACGGGCGGTAATGGTAAGGACCTTTATTAAATGTATTTTTGTATGTGAGAGGAATGGCAGCAAAACTCAGCAGTCAAGACCAGACATAATGAAAATGGCCATGGGGAAAAGTGTCAGTGGAGTGTTAAGGGGCGTGAGGAAGAGCGTGGTCAAAATTTGGTCTAGGACGTGGGCGAGAGCATCATTTGTCAGATGGTTGAGATTCAGAACTTCACAGACTATGATGTTTGGGATTTTTAGGTTAGATGATCTGAATTGCTCATGAAAAGATTTCCTCTATCAAATCTTGATGTTTTCAAATCGTCTACAACGAGAAGGTAGTCACGGTCTTGAGAAAAGTACAGAGAAATCAGTTGTAAGTAGAAACAGAGTGCCATCTCATGCACTGGTTAATGGCTGACTTAAGGATCCAAAGGGATAGGAATCATCTTGACAGTCATGATGTGGACGCCCTCCAGCAGATACCTTTTAGAAGCTGTTTTGCTGCGGTCCTTCACTCCTAGCGGCAGCCCTCCATGGCCCCCTCTATGTAGTATGATGTCATCACACCCCAGAAGCTTGGTTCATCTTGACCGTGATCTCCCAGCACTGCCACCTGGATGTTGATATCCTATCCCTCGGTTTATAAACGAAATTCAAAGTCAACTAGATGATCGTCCTAGTCATGGGTGGGAGAAGCACTGGTAGGTCTTCTGGAAGGAGAGCCGGGCATCTGTGCCCAGGCATCCCTGAGTAACATATTTGTCTCTTGTTATACAACCTATCAAAAAACTCATTTGCCTACAAAATTAAATAGTGGTTGAATTTTTGCTTTGCTTTGTTTTTATTATTACTGTTTTAGTTTTTAGGAAAATGTCTGTTTCTGCAGAGCCCAGTGCCTGACTTAGATTACATGAGCAGGCAATGCTGTCTCCGGTAACTGCAGGCTTAAGGGGGCTCACTAGTGGCTTTACAAGTTGCCTAAGATTCAGCCGCAGACTTTTCCCCACAGCAGGGCCTTCTTGCCACTTGCTTTCCCCTCATCCCCTCGAAAGCTTGAGATCCTGCTAATTGGGCCTAAGCAACTTTTTACCTCAAATCACATATGAATATAAAAA